ATCTTCTTAGACTAAGTTGATTCTGTCTCTTTCGTCTTCCTCTTCTAAGTTATTATTGTCACAACTTAATTCCATCTTGTGTTGTGAGTTTGTGGTTAAAGTGATGAGGTTATATTTATTTTTGGTGTTTTCCTTCCCTTTATCTTTGATGTTACAATTAAGTGTTTGCTAACCTATTCTGATAGAATGCTGCAATTTTTCTGATTTTGTCTACCTATTTTTCTCCTTGCTCAAGGCTTTGTATCCTGTTTCTCTTTTTCTTTCTTTTTCAGGCATGAGGGCCTTTTTGAGCCTTTCCTGTAGTGGGGGTCTTGTGGCAATGAACTCCCTTAGCTTTTGTTTATCTGGGAAAGTTTTTATTTCTACATCATATCTGAAGGATATTTTCACTGGATAGAGTATTCTTGGCTGAAAGTTTTTGTCTTTCAGAATTTTGAATATATCATCCCACTCTCTCCTAGCCTGTAAGATTTCTGCTGAGAAATCCTTTGAAAGCCTGATAGTAATTCCTTTGTGCATTATTTTTGTTGTCTTGCTGCCCTTAGTATTTTTTCTTTGTGGTTGACTTTTGCCAGCTTTACTACTATATGCCTTTGAAAGGGTCTTTTTCTGTTGGTGTAGTTAGGAGATCTATTGACTTCATTCACTTGTATTTCCAGCACCTTCCCCAGGTTTGGGTAGTACTCAGCTGTTATTTCTTTGAACAAGCTCTCTGCTATTTTTTTCCTCTCTTCTTCCTCTGGAAGACCTATAATCCTTAGATTGCATTTCCTAATTGAGTCAGATATTTCTCAGAGAATTTCTTCATTTCTTTCATGTCTTATTTTGCTCCCCTCCATCTGGAGCATTTCTACATTCCTATCCTCTATATTGCTAATTATTTCCTCCATATTGTCAGCTCTGTTCTTTAAAGATTCCAGATTTTCCTTTGTCTCCTCCATTGTGTTTTTCATCTCTAACATTTCTGATTGGTTTTTCTTTATAGTTTCAATCTCTTTTGCGAAGATGTTCCTGATTTCATTGAGCTGTCTATCTCTGTATTTTCTTGTAACTTGTTGAGCTTTTTTATGATAGCTATTTTGAATTCTCTGTCATTCAGGTTATCAATTTCTGTGCCTTCAGTATTGATTTCTGGGTGCTTGTAATTTTCCTTCTGGTCTGTAGATTTAATATATTTTTGTACACTGTTTGAGGGCGTGGGTTTGTTTTTCCTCATGTTGATAATATCCAGTTGCAGCTTCCATCTGCTGCCACTGGGTGGTGGTCAAGAGCTGTGTATTCTGAGCCCACCACAATCCACAGGTGCTCTGGCTGACTGGCTGAGCTGAAGTGCCAGGTCGGGGGAAGGGGCACTTTCTTATGCCTGCCCAATGCCGGGGGCTTCTTGCTCTTCCCTCGCTATCTGCTCTCCTGGGGTGCTAGCTTGATGAAGACACCCCTGCAACAACAGTTCAGTCCCCTCCATGTGGGGAGTTTCCCACAGGCTGTGAGGGAACTTGGAGAATGACAGTTTTCCCATGGAGGGCCACCCCTCCCCCCCTTCTCTGAGTGGTGCATGGTCCCGGTCCCAGGGTTGCTCCTGTTAGGGATGGAGAGGAGTTCTCCTTACCTCCTTCCACTTCCTTCAGGAGTTCCAGCACCTCCACCTTCAGATGTAAGGTTGTAGGGGTCTCTCTGACATCTTTTGTGTTGTATGAATATCCTCTGTTGGTATATGAATGTACTATATGTTGTATCTTGGGGGGTAGAGTCTAAAGGGAGAGCTCACTCCGCCATGGTGTTGACATCACTATGCTATTTCTTTTCTTTTTTTTTTTTTGTGAGGAAGATCGGCCCTGAGCTAACATCTGCCAATCCTCCTCTTTTTGCTGAGGAAGACTGGCCCTGAGCTAACATCTATGCCCATCTTCCTCCACTTTATATGGGATGCCGCCACAGCATGGCTTGACAAGTGGTGCGTCGGAGCACGCCTGGGATCCCAACCGGCGAACCCGGGGCCACCGCAGCAGAGTGCACGCACTTAACCGCTTATGCTACGCTATTTCTTAATCTTGATTTTAGACATTGTTGATTTCCTCCAGCCACCCGGCCTCCAGGCTCTTCCTCAGGTGCACAACCTCTTCCCTCCTCCAGGCCTTTGCATTCACTGCCACCTCTGCCTAAGCCTCACTCTCCAGATCCTCTCTCTCTGTAGTCTTTTTACACTGGCTTATTTTACTTAGCAATATGCATTTAAAGTTTCTCCATGTCTTTTTTTGACTTGATAGCTCATTTAAAAATCACGGAATACTATTTCATTGTATGGATGTACCAAAGTTTGTTTATCTGTCCATCTGTTGAAGGACATCTTGATTATTTCCAGTTTTTGATGCTGATAAATAAAGCTGCTGTAAACATTTGCATATAGGTTTTAGTGTGGACATAAGTTTTTGACGCAGTTGGGTCAATACCTACAAGCATGATTACTAGATTATATGATAATACTATTTTTAGTTTTGTAAGAAACTACCAAATTGTTTTCCAAAGTGGCTGTATCATTTTGCATTCCCACTAGTAATGAATGAGAGTTCCTATTGCTCAACATTAGCACTTCCTATTGTCAATTTATTTTTAGCCATTCTAATAAATGTGTAGCAGTATCTCGTTGTTTTAATTTGCAATTCATAAATTGCCATGACATATGATGCTGAGCATCCTACCATATGCTTGTTTACCATCTGCACATCTCCTTTGGTGTGTTGTCTATTCCTATCTCTTGCCCATTTTTAATTGGGCTGTTTGTTTTCTTATTGTTGAGTTTTAAGTGTTCTTTGTATATTTTAGATATGAGTATTTTATCAGATATTTGTTTTGCAAATATTTTCTCCCAGTCTCTGGCTTGTCTTTTCATTCTCTTAACAATATTTTTCACATAGCAGAGTATTTTTCTTTTTTTTGAGGAGACAATTGAATTTATTCCACTTCAAGTTGGATCAGTATTTAACAATTGCAGAAGCTTAAATTTGAAATCAAGATGCTAATTTCCAAAGAGACAATACAGATACACAGAGGTAAAGGCACACACTCATAGATGATGTTTGATTAGGTTTTTTCCAGAGATATATAGAGATAAATATCAAATAACTCTGAATAAAGGGTATGAGTTACTCTGACCAATGAAACATCTCTATCTCAATGACTCAGATTGACTACTTAAATAAAATGGTGCATGTATCTGTATATCAATTTTCAATCTCAGTGTTTTGTTTTGTTTTTTCAGTTAAAGGTACTGGAAAATATATTTGATCAAAATCAGTTGTGTGATTTTCTTTCCTGTTTGAGGTCTACATCACTTGCTTCTATCACATTAAAGTAGGTGTACTGTTTGTTGAAATTTTCACTCCACTGAATATTTGAGTTCACATGGTCATAACATCCTAATATCCTGATCCTTCTTTTACAGTTGGCCCTGCCATTCTGAACTAATGAAGGTAAATTTTAAAACAATAAATAAATAAGCAGCAGTTACACCAAGTTAGCACCAAGTTATATCTTGGGTGATATAAGTACTGCTTTCAATTACTTTAAAGCAAGCTTTTTAAAGCCAACAATATGAACTCATTGTTTGATAAACACTACTGAAAAAATAAGAGCCCTCATTTTGAATTTTTATAAATTCATGAGGTTACATTAATGGAAGGGTCTAGTCATACAAAGCCTGCTGTAATGGAGTTGTGTCATCCCGAGGGTAATTATATAATGATAACTCAATGGAAATAAAATGTGGTTCTTCAAATTGCTTATCTTGCAGTAAGACAACATAAAATGCAATAGGAACTTTGATAAATGTATCTTATAAATTCTGATCCTGTGTTTCACAGTTATTCAGTCTGTACAAATACAATTATATTAACAAAGTAGCTCTTATGGCATCACTCAGTTTAGGTGATATGGATCACAAACTGTATTCACTTTTGTGTTTACTAACCCATTGCACCAAATTCCCCAAAACTCATGATGAGGATGATGTGATATGTGCCATATGCAGAGAAAGATGACCAAATAAGCAACCTATTAAGAATGTTGCTTATCATCTTTTTTTTTTAAAGGCTGAATAGTATTCCATTGTATGTATATACCACATTTTCTTTATCCATTCACCTGTTGATGGACATTTCTAAAATAGTCAAATTCATGGAATCAAAGACTGGAATGGTGGTTACCAGGGACTGGTGGGAGGGGGAGATTAACAGTTAATAATCAACAGGCATAAAGTTTCAGTTAAGTAAGATAGGTAAGCTCTAGAGATCTGCTGTACAGTATTTTTGCTATAGTGAACAATAATGTAGCATACACTTAAAATTTGTTGAGGATAGATCTCATGTTAAGTGTTCTTACCACAATAAAATCAATAAATTAAGAGATCAAGAATGTTGCTTACCAGAGACAGAATGTGTACTTCCCTAGAGACAAGAATTATGACTGCAGATTTATCTGACAGCCATCATGTTTTCTCAAAGAGTGTCCTTTGAAACCATAGTCCAATAATTTAGGTTGGAAAAATATATATAGTTTGCTTGGAAAATAATACAACCTTTTGTCCCTTGGATATCCAGTGTCCGTTAGCACGTTAATAATTTTGTAAAGTTCTACATTTATCCTTTAATTTATTCATTCAATACATATTAACAAGTGCTGATGATGAGCGAACAATGGAACATTGAACAAAACAGAAAAGATTCTTTCCCTTACAGAACTTTTCTCATAGAGAGGGAAGAAAATAGATATATTTTATGTGGTAATAAATGCTGTGTTAAAAGTAAACTATTAAGTAGTAGTTAATAACAACAATAAACAAACACATGGGGACAGAGATTGGATTGGTGGTTACCAGAGGGGAAGGGGGGAGGGAGGAGGGTGAAAGGGATAATTTGGTACATGTGTGTGGTGATGGGTTGTAATTAGTATTTTGGTGGTGAACATGATGTAATCTATGCAGAAATAGAAGTATAATGATGTACACCTGAAATTTTTATAATGTTATAAACCAATGTTACTGCAATAAACAAAATATTAAAAAAAAAAAGAGGGACAGCAAATGCTTGGGGATACTATTCTATGTAGAATGATTAGGGAAGATTCTAAGAAAAGGAGACACTGAGCAGAGATATGAAGGAAGTGAGGAAGCAAGCCATGAATATCTTAGGAAATCAGCATCTCAAGCAAGGGAAGGAGGTAGTGTCAAGGTCTTCTGACAGGAATATATATAGAATGCTTATGAAACAAGTTGGCCAGTCAGCCAGGGATGGTGTGAATAAGAGCAGATGAAGTCAGAAAGTTAGCAGAGATCACTTGTGCCATGGTAGGAATTTTGGCTTACATTGAGTGCATTTGAACATGTGAGTGGCATAATTTCATTTTCATTTTTGAGGGCTCATTCTTGCTGGATGAGTGAAGAATAGACCTTAGCACAGCAAAGTTAGAAACTGGGAGACAAGAAAGCTATTGCAATAACATAATGAGAAATGTGATGGCTAGAAATTGGACAATGGTGGATGATATGGTGGGATTCTGTATATAATTTTTAGGTAGAGCCAATAAAAAAGTTGTTGATAGTTTGGATATGAGGTGTACAAGAAAGATTCCTTGGCCTGAGAAACTAGAAAAATGAATTGCTAACTGTTAAGATAAGGAAGACGATGGAAAGGGCAAAAGTTTTTTATTTTGTGAGGCATCAGATGTTCTTTTTGGAAAATATAAAATTGGAGCTGCTTACTATGTTTAAGTGGGAATGTTGAGAAGTTATTGGGCATAAGAATCTGAAGATTAGAGTATGTAAAGCTGAAGATTAGATTAGATCACTTGAAGAGTGACAGTGAAAGTAGACAGTGAAAAGTCCACTATTTGAGTTCATGGAGATAAGGAGGAACTTATAAAGGATATTAAGGGGTAAGAGTCATACACATAGAACTTGAAGTAAAAGAGAATGATATACTGAAGGCCAAGAGAAGAAAATGTTTCAAGAAGAATTAAGTCATCTTCTGTGTCAATTGATCTCAATAATGAGATCAAACTGGATGTGGAAGAGAATTGAAAAAGGATTTGGCAACGAGGATGTCTTCAGTGACTTTGACTAGAGGTGGGGTTAAGGGTTTGAAAGCCTGACTAGAGAGGGCTTAATAGATGGCAGAAGGAGAATAACTGGAGAGGGTGAGTAAAACAACTTTCACTTAGAGCAAAGAGATGAAGATTGCTGATAACAGGCTGTGGGCTTCTGAGGGCAGAGTGGAATGTTGGCTTGGAAATGAGCAGATTTAAAGTACTTGAATCACCAGTTTTCTGCACTAAGTGGATTTTCTTATATGATGGCCTGTACTGTTACAAGATTTTTATTGTCTCTATAGTTTTGCCTTTTCCAGAATGTCATTTAATTTGGCTCATACTGTATGTAGGCTTTTCAATTTGGCTTCTTTCATTTAGTAATATACATTTAAGTTTCCTCTGTGTCTTTTTGTGGCTTGATAGCTCATTTCTTTTTAGTGCTGAATAATATTCCATTGTCTGGATGTACCACAGTTTATCCATTCACCTACTAAAGGACATCTTGGCTGCTTCCAAGTTTTGTGAATTATGAATAAAGCTGCTGTAAACATCCCTGTTCAGGTTCTTGTGTGGACATAAGTTTTCAACTCCTTTGGGTAAATACCAAGGAGTGTGAATATTGGATTATGTGGTAAGAATATTTTAGTCTTGTAAGAAACTACAACACTGCCTTCCAAAGTGCCTTTACTATTTTGCATTCCCACCAGCAATGAATGAGAGTTTCTATTGCTCTACATCCTTGCCAGCATTTGGTGTTGTCAGTGTTCCAGACTTTTGTCCATCCTAATAGGTGTGCAGTGGTATTTTATTATCGTTTTAATTTACATTTCCCTGATAACATGGAAATGTAACTGTAGGTCTTCTTTGATGAGGTATCTGTTAAGGTCTTTGGCCCATTTTAAATCAGGTTGTTGTTTTCTTCTTGTTGAGTTTTAAGAGTTCTTTGTGTATTTTGAATAATAGTCCTCATTCAGATGTGTCTTTTGCAAACATTTTCTCCTAGCCTGTGGCTTGTCATTTCATGGTTTTGACCATGTCTCTCACAAAGCAAAACTTTTTAATTTTAATGAAGTCCGTGTTATCAGTTCTTCCTTTTATAGATCATGTCTTTGGTGTTATATCTAAGAAGTCATCACCAAACCCAAGCTCGACTCGATTTTCCCCTATGTCATCTTCTAGGGGTTTTTAGTTTAACATTTTAAATTTAGGTCAATGATCCACTTTGAGTTAGTTTTTGTGAAGCGTGTGTGATCTGTGTCCAGATTCTTTCTTTTTTTTTTTGTAAGTGAATGTCCTGTTGTTCCAGCAATATTTTTTGAAAGACTATCTTTTTTCCATTGTATTGCCTTTGTTCCTTTATTAAAGGTCAGTTGGCTACATTTATGCCATTCTATCTCTGGAATCTCTATTCCATTCCTTTGATCGATTTTTCTGTTCTTTTGCCCATACCATGCTCTCTTGATTATTGTAGCTTTATAGTAAGTCTTAAAGTCAGGTAGTGTCAGCTCTCCAACTTTGTTCTTCTTCTTCAATATTGTTTTGGCTATTCTAGATCTTTTGCCTTTCTGTATAAACTTTAGACTCAGTTTGCTGATATTCACAAAATAACTTTCTGGCATTTAAAACACTGATTTCTCTGTCTTCTCAATTCTGCTGTTGAGCCCATCCACTGAGCTTTTTATTTTGGTTTTTGTGTATTTCAATTATAAAATTCCATTTGGTTCTTTTTTATATCTTGTTTGCTGAGATTTTCTATTTCCTTGCTGAGGCTTTCTATTTTTTCATTTGATTCAAACATGTTTGTACTTTCTTGTTGAAGCATCTTTCTCATGTTTTTTAAAAAATATCTCTGTGAGATAATTCTAATATTTCTTTTATCTTAGTATTGGCATGTATTTATTTATTTATTTTCTGAGGAATATTGGCCCTGAGCTAACATCTGTTGCCAATCTTCCTCTTTTTCTTTTTTCTCCCTAAAGCTCCAGTACATAGTTGTAGGTCCTTCTAGTTCTTCTATGTGGGATGTGACCTCAGCATGGCTTGATGAGCAGTGAGTAGGTCTGCACCAAGAATCTGAACTGGTGAACCCCAGGCCACTATAGTGGAATGTGCAAACTTAACTGCTATGCCACTAGGCTGGCCCCTGTATTTATTTATTTTTAATTAATTTTGATAACTTTATTTTTTTTGGTATGGTCAGTGATTTTCCATTGAAACCTGGACATTTCTGTATTACATTCTAAGATCTGGATCCTATATAAACCTTCTGTTTCAGTTGGCTTTTCCTAACACCATTCTGGCAAGAAAAAGGAGGCTGTGTCTTGTTACTGCCTGACATATGTAGACTTGACCTCCTTGACACCTGGTTGGCAGGGGCTCCTTGTTACCTCTGGGTGAAGATGGAAGTTCTGGTTTCCATGTGATCTCCCTTGGTCTTTAATTTTAGTAATACACACACTTTAAAAATTACTTTTCTATATGGCCTTCTATCAATGCAGCGCAAGTCTGGAGCTGCTGCCCAAAGGATTGGACATCATTTGGATCCTACTGCTATATTGTTCCTTCTAAAGCCAGAAATTGGAATGAGAGTGAGAAGCACTGCTCAGAAATGCATGCTCACCTGCTGGTGATGAACACCAAGGATGACAAGGTACTTTCTAATCAATGATGGAGTCAGGATTCCTGCCTGGTCTTTGGGCACCTCTCTTGTCTAAGGAGGAAGTTTTCATTGTTTTGGGGTATTGGTGCTATGGCAGAAGGATTTCAATAAAACAGAGAGGCAAGGCTACTTAAGTCTGTACATTCCATAGCTTCTTCCTGCTTCCGTAAAACTAACCTCCCCCCAAATAAATTGGGGCATTTAAAATATATTATGTGAGGTTTGAGTGGAAGGATGAAAATATTTCAATCTGAAATATCAGTTTACTATTTTTCAAATTATTATAAATTATTTTTAAATGTGAATGTGTTATAAATTATTAACTATTTAGCAAAGAATGGGTATTAAATCAAATAGGGACATAAGGTTCAATCATGAAGAGTCATAATCAACAATCAGAAATGCAGTTAAAGAATCTTCAAAGTTATGAAAGGAAAATGATTTAATCTGCAAAAATTTTCTTATGCATAGCTTTGAAGAATACCATCTCTTGAAGATAAGAGAGGAAGTGAGTCTGAGATGACAATTCGTTATACTCATAGGGAGAAATGACCTCCATATGTATAGAACATTGCCATATACTGAATGTTTCTGTCCCCTCCAAATTCATCTATTGAAATCGTAACCCCCAAAGGTGATGGTATTAGGAAGTAGGGCCTTTGGGAGGTGCTTAGGTCATGAGGGTGGAGCCCTCATGACGGGGATTAGTATTCCTACAAAAAAGACCCCACACAGCTGCCTTGCCCTGCTACCATGCGAGGACACATCAAGAAGGCACTGTCTATGAACCAGGAGGAGAGCCTTCACCTGACCATGCTAGTACCCTGATCTACTCAGTAGGTACTACTCAGTATATCCTCAAGAACTGTGAGAAATAAATTTCTGTTGTTTATAAGCTACCAGGTCTGTGGCATTTTGTTATAGCAACCTAACAGACTGAGACAAACATCATGCTCACAGGTGATGCCTTTGATCCTGAATTGCTCAGCCAGAAAAGACCTAGGCTTCTGGGCAGGGCCCCCATTGACTCTTCTTGGATCCTCTCCTTTTCTTCTCCCTAAGGCCATGACGAACTCAATTCTACCTGAATACTCTAAAGGCTATAACTCCTTTCTTTTCTCCCCACAGGATTTTGTCACCCAGAAGCTGGATAGGAAAAATAGTTATTATATAGGGCTGTCAGACCCAGAGGGGAAGAAACATTGGCAGTGGGTTGATCAGACTCCATACAACGAAAGTCTCGCGTGAGTATAGAGTTAGATAAAGGGATCCTCAGTCCTGGTTCATGCGGGGATTTTAGGGTGTTCCAACTATCAGCTATTAAAATAACTCACTCTTCTTTTAACTCTTGGGTACTAGGTTAAATAATTTCACTTATTATCTCACTGAATCATCACAAGAACTCTATGAGGCACACATTATTGTTTTTTCCACTGTAGAGATGAAGAAATTCAATTTAGAGAGTTTGATAACTCAGCAAATGTTATCTAGTGGCAACAGTGGTCCTCAGACCCAGGTCTATCTGACACCAAAGTCTGTGCTTTTAACCACTACCTTTCTGTCTCTAAATATAAGAAAAATTCATATCAGTTAAGATAATAACTGATTATTAAGATTTAATATCTCATAAAGCAAATAAGCTAAATTCTGATACTTATATTTATGTAAATTGTGATACTTATATTATCATATTTATGTAGATTTTTTAAAACTGTTAAGTACATTAGTACATTTTAGTACATTACTATCTTTGATCCTTATATCAACTGTGTGAAATTTATGGGGATATTACTCCTGTCTCTATTTTTTAGTTGTGGAAAATGAGAATCAGGGAAATTAAATTACTTGCCCAAGATAACAGTGATAGTAGCAGATTCAGAGATTTTAACTAGTTCTTCAGACTCCAAAAGCAGTGCATAAAAAAGGAAACAAACTACATTGATAGTTGAGATGAGAGTGAAATTTTTACATCATTTAAGGGAGCCTGTGGACTGACAGTCCCCTGGGAACAGGACATAAATATGCACAGATAGAAGAGAGCCTCTGGGATATCTGCTGGGAGAATGTTTAATGCAGTAAGATGTCACAATACTGGGTGATATAAGCACAGTTTTCAAGGGAGATGGCAGAGATACAGATGGAGGAAAAACTTCATGGGAAGTGGAGAAAGAATGATTTGGGTATGTCTGACTCTGACTTCCATACAGTTCAACCCCAGCCCCCTCCCTCTCTGTCTAACCCTTTTCAAAGCACTGTTTGAAGAAACATCCTCATCTTTTTCTCCCTTTCAGATTCTGGCACCCAGGTGAACCCAATAATCCTAGTGAGCGTTGTGCTATGCTAAGTCATTTATCCAAACGCTGGGGCTGGAATAACATCTATTGTGATCAAGCTCAGTTCGCAATTTGCAAGACAATGAAGATCTACATATGAATGGAACATTCTTCACGAACATGTGGTTCAATTGGTAGCCACCATTATAGAGATAGCTAATGTGCTTTTTCTATTCATGTGTAAGTCTTGTAAAAGGGAACTCCATAGAATTTTTCAGTAGGCTGTCACCTATTCTACTTATAGAATCATTGCACACATTCAATCATTTATTCTTTCATGAAATGAACATATATTGAGCATTTTCCATGTGCAGAGAGTATACTGGAGAGCCGTGTTGGAGACTAAATGAAGGGAACATGAGCCTCATCTCCTAATTTTTGTCTGATTGCTAAGGGGTTAGATATGGATATAATTATATGATGTGGTTCCTCCATCTGTCTGAATTTTTCTTTTATGGATTGATCAAAAGCAAAACAGTCCCAACCATTACTTTACATTCCTCTCAGGCAGATTAATTACCTTTAATTGAAAGCATATAGTGTAGCAGTTGGAATATAATACACATCAATGGAAGAGAAGTTCCAGCTTTGGCCCAGTAGATTGTTTGGGCTTCGTAACATTCTCTGTTCATTCCTGGGCTGTCATTTAACATCAGGGTACAAGGCAAAGGGAAATCAGAGATTGAGCATTAGAAGTTTAGAATTAGAGAATTAGAATTAGAAATTATTACTGGTCAGTTGACATAGATTTATATTCATCAAGTATTCTGGTAATTTTTTTCTTTGCTTTAGTTTTATAGTTTCTATGTCTAGGCTGCCACTCAAATGGCCCCTGGTTTATTTGCATTTCCGTTTTTACTAAAGTTCTTACAGATCATTTTCTTTCTACTACAATATAAAATATGTCATATTTACAATAAAGCCTGTAATTCATTGCCTTAGTATGGGAATTATAGTTGATTATTATAAAGCTGATTCTCTCCATGGCTATCTCATGGGACCTGAGATTATGCCCTGATTATCTTGATGCAACTGAGTAATTATATTTGCCACTTATTTCCTGACTATATCTAAAGACGAGTTATTTTTATACAGATCTGATCTTATCCACTATAGGTAGAATTTACCAGTGTACTTCCCAGAGAGCAACTTATATAATAATTCTGGGGGAACTTTATTTACAATGAGCTTTTCCCACTATTATTTCAATAATATGGGGATGGAATGAAGGAAGGGCAAAAAGAGCCACTTCACTAAATGCCTTTGATTTTCAGAATAGACAGTGTGCTTGAACCGGAGTGAAATGGAGAATGGTGATATTAGTCAGTGCCGGAACTTTTCTCTTCCCTTACATTTTATGAACGTGGTTCAGAACTTATTTTCTTTAATTTTCCCTAGAGCACCATTAAATCAAGATTGTGTGTATCCAATTAATAGAAAGAATTGTGAAAAATAATAAAATTGTTTCAAGTCATTAAGTTTTGAGGTAGCTTATTATTCAGCAATGTATAACTGAAACACCTTTGAATTGTATTACAGTTTTGAGTCAAGTTTCTGCAAAATAATAAAATATATTCAATCATAGTGCTGTCTCTAAAAAGGTTAGTAATAATTTAAAAGTTGAGAGTAGATTAATTTTACCATCAGTGAATAAAATGCAAAATTAAAGTGTTAATTTTTTATATCATTTAATTCCTATTCTTATATAGGGGGCATATTATATTATGTCATAGGTGTGTGGTTTTTAAATAAATAAATATTCTATATTAAGTGTGTGTATACTAAATTTTTTTTCTACTATCAAGGATATGCAATCAAAAATTGTTTTGAGGTCACTATTCTAGAAGATGGGTCTAAAAATGCTTGATGAAAATTTAGGTAAATGTTCTCTTTAAAATAAAAGAAAAACACAGGCTACATACAGAACTATTTGAAGAAAGTATGTTTATGTGTTGGTTTATTTGGCAGATATATTTAACAAATAAAATATATCTTAGAATTTTAGGCTCTATATTCATCTTTATAGTTACTATTGAAAACAAACATATAAACAAATAAATCTACCAATGCTTCAAGCTCTTTCGGTCCACCTGCCACTTAGTAAATGAAAGAGAAAGCAGGAACTCTGTGGAATGTCCAGTACTGTGGAAAACATTTTTACGCATTGGAATTAAAATGATCAACCTGGATGATTTCGCTGAAGATGAGAAGATCTTGACAGCTAACAACTCTTCAGGGCCTGTTTATGTTAATTTTGTTAAGATGATCTTAATACTGAAACGTGGATTAATAGTTCTGTCTTTGCCAACATAGAAATCATCAATGGTGCACACTTTGTCAAAGGCGAATTCAATGACTCAAGGATAGAAGAAATAATGTGACAATTCAGCTGTATTAAATGTTTGGTATAAGGGTTTGATTAAATTAATCATATTCTGTTCACACAATGAAATGCTCTGCAGCAGTTAAAATTGTTGCAAATGGGATTTTACAATAAAAACCCAGTATTTAGGACTGTGGTGCATATTGTTGGTCTACTTATCCCTTCTTCTTTACAAACAAAACTTCAATGTTGTTTAGAGAGTCACTTTCCTTCATGCAGCCAAGGTGCCTTGGGATGCTGACCTCACTTCTGCTCCGTGGGTGGATACTGATTAATCCAAGGCAATCCAAACATTCACCCTAGAGGTTGGTTTAGCAATAGGCACAAATTGCACGTCATGAATTGCTCCTCCTCATTTTCAGAGGAATCAAGGAGCTAATCTTCCTCTCCCAGTGAATACAGAGAAATATATAGTCCTGCTTGCTACTGATAGTCATTCTGTGACCATGTGGGAAACTAGCTTTCGGATGACAGGAACATTGTAGATAGCAGAGTAGAGCAATGGAAATACCGTAGTTTCTTAAGGGTATTGTTGAACCACTGAATCAACTATTCCTGAAGCACATTCTACTCTGAGTTTCTAATAATAAAAGCTAATAAATTTTCTAATTATTTAAGTCCAATTAAATCTTGACTGATAAAAGAAAGCATGTTATTTTTAGTGACCAAACTTTATTGAAGTTTAATTTATGTACAGTAAAAAGCTAACATTTTCAGATCAGTTGAATGATTTTTCAAATGATTTGACAAATGTATACAAATCTGTAACCACTATGCTGATGGGGCTTAGGGCAGGCTGCCCCCAAATATGCCATTTTGGCATATTGATTATTTTGAATTAAAGTTACTTGAGAAACAGCCAATGCAAAAAGTTCTCTCTGACCCTTTTCTGTCCTCCTGAAAGCAGGAAATAAATCTCCCGTGTAAAAGGTATCCTTCCTGTACCAGGAGAAATAGTAACGTCCTTCTCACCAGAGATACAGAATTTTGGGCTGAGAAGGCTGTCAAACAAACCTTGTTTATTTACACAAACCTCTAATTTACTACCTAAGCACAAACTTCTTTTTCTTGTCAACTCTTCACAAATTTATTGTTTCTGTGTCTAAAAGGTATAAAAGCTGCCTGCTTTGGTCACTTCTTTGGACCTCATATTCTTATGGAGCCCTCGTATGTATGAAATTAAATTTGATTTTTTCCTGTTAATTGGTCTCATGTCAATTTAATTCTTAAACCAGCCAGAAGAACCTAGAAGGGTAGAGGAAAACCTTTTCCTCCCCAAGAATACCAATGAATATAACAAACATTTTCATCATTGTAGAACATTTCCTTGTACCCCTACTTTAGGAAAGTAGTGATCTGATTTCTATCAACATTTATTTGTTTTGCCAGCTTTAAGATTTCATATAAAAGGAATAACAATGTATTCTTTTTTCCTACCTTCCTTTGCTCAATATGTTTGTGACATTCATCAAAGATTTTGTATTTTTTCAGCAATACGTTCAATTTTATTGTCGAATTGTATTCCATTTACAAGTATATCTTAATTTGTTATCCATTCTCTTTTTGGTTTGAATCTTTGAGTTCTTTCTAGGTTTTAGCTATTATGAACAAAGCTGCTATAAGCATTTTTTATATGTCCTTTTGTAGACGTGCTTTTATTTCTCTTGGATATAGACCTAGGATTGAAATGTATCCACCATTACATAAAGAATAGTTTCACTGCCCTAAAAATCCCTGGTGTTCCACCTATTCATTCCTTTCCTTCTCTGCCATGAGCCCTGGCAACCACCGGTCTTTTCATTTTCTATAGTTTTACCTTTTCCAAATTGTCACATAGTTGGAATCATGTAGCGTTTTCAGACTGGCTTATTTCACTTAGCAATATGCCTTTAAGGTTCCTCCATGTCTTTTTGTGGCTTGGTAGCTCATTTATTTTTATTGCAGAAAATATTCCATTTTATGGATGTACCACAGTTTATTTATTCACCTATTGAGGGACATCTTGATTGTTTCCAACTTTTGACAGTTATGAATAAAGCTGCTATAAAGATTCATGTGCACGTTTTTGTGTGGACATGTTTTCAGCTCATTTGGGTAAATACCTAGGAGCACGATTGCTGAATTATATGGTAAGACTGTGCTTAGCTTTGTAAGAAACTGCCAAATTATCTTTCATAGTGGCTATCTTATTTTGCATTCTCACCAACAATGAATGAGTCTTCCTGTTGCTCCACAACCTCAGCATTTGATATTGTCAGTGTTTGGATTTAGCCATTCTAATAGGTGTGGTGCGGTATCTTGTTTTAATTTGCAATTCACTAATGAGAAATGATGTTGAACATCTTTTCACACACCTACATCTATATATCTTCTTTGGTGAGGTGTCTGTTCAGATCTTTTGCTCATGTTTAATTGGGTTGTTTGTTTTCTTATTGTGAGTTTTAAGAGTTCTTTGTAAATTTGAATACAACTTCTTTATCACATGTGTGGTTTGTAAATATTTTTTCCCAGTCTGTAACTTGTTTTTTCATTCTTTTAACAGTGCCTTTCACAGAGCAGAAGTTTTTAATTTTAATGAGTTCCATCTTATCAAATTTTTTTTCATGGGTCATACTTTCAGTGTTGTATCTAAAAACTCATTGTCAAACTCAAAGCCATCTAAATTTTCTCCCATGCTATATTCCAGAAGTTTTACAGTTTTGTGTTTTATTTTTAGGTCTATATTCCATTTTGAGTTAACTTTTCTGAAGGTATAAAGTCTGTGTCTAGATTCATTTTTTTGCATGTGGACGTCCAGTTGTTCTAGCACCATTTGTTGAAAGGGCTACACTTTCTCCATTGGAGTGCCTTTGCTCTTTCGTCAAAGATCAATTGACCATATTTGTGCATGTCTATTTCTGGGATCTCTGTTCTGTCCTTGATTTATTTGTCTTTTCTTTCAACAATACCTCACAGCCTTGATTACTGTAACTTTATTATAATGAGACTTAAAATTGAGTAGTGTCAGTCCCCCAACTTTGTACTTCTTCAATATTATGTTAGCTTTTCTAGATCTTTTACCTTTCCATATAAACTTTTAAATCAATATATTGATAAGCACCAATCAGCTTGCTTGGGTTTTCATTGGGATTGTGTTGAATCTAGGGCTCAAGTTGGGAGGAACTGACATCTTAATAATATTGAGTTTTCCTAGCCTATTCAGATGATCTATTTCTCCTTGCATGAGTTTTGGTAGATTGTATCTTTTAAGGAATTCGTTCATTTAAATATGTAATCAAATTTGTGGACATAGAGTTGTCCATAATATTACTTTATTATCTTTTTAATGTATGAGTGTCATTAGTGATAACTCCTTTTATAACTTCTTTTTCACTTCTGATATTAGTAATTTCTGTCTCTTCTTTTTTTTGGTTATCCTGGCTAGGATGTTATAAATTTTATTGATATTTTCAAAGAACAAACTTTTGTTTTCATTGACTTTATTGTTTTTCTGTTTTCAATTTCATTGATTCTATTCTAATTTTTATTATTTATTTTCTTCTGCTTACTTTGGATTTA